CAACACACACAAACACACACACACCAACACACACACCAATCCACACCAACACACACACCAACACACACACCAACACACACCAACACACACCAACACACACACACACCAGCACACACACACCAACACATACCAACACAAACCCACACACACAACCACACACACAAACACATATAAACACACACAAACAGACAAACACACACAAACAGACAAACACACAAGCACGCAAACACACAAGCACACACACAAACACACATCAACACCCATCAGCACCCATCAACACCCATCAACACCCATCAACACTCATCAAAACACATCAAAACACACCAATACACACCAACACACACACACCAACACACACACCAACACACACCAACGCACACCAACACACACACACACCAAAACACACCAACGCACACCAACACACGCCACCAACACACACAACACACGCACAGCACACACCAACACACACACACACCAACACACACCACACACACCAACACACACCAACACACACCAACACACACCAACACACACCAACACACACCAACACACACCAACACACACCAACACACACACACACCAACCCACACCAACACACACACCAACACACACACCAACACACACCAACACACACCAACACACACCCACACCAACACACACACACACCAACACACACACCAACACACACCCACACACACAACCACACACACAAACACACAAACACACAAACACATATAAACACACACAAACAGACAAACACACACACAAACAGACAAACACACAAGCACGCAAACACACAAGCACACACACAAACACACATCAACACCCATCATCACCCACCAACACCCATCAACACCCATCAACAAACATCAACACACACCAACACACACTCACACACACCAACACACATCAACGCACATCAAAACACATCAACACACATCGACACACACCAATACACACCAACACACACCAACACACACCAACACACACCAACACACACCAACACACACCAACACACACCAACACACACCACCACACACCAACACACACCAGCACACACCAACACACACCAACACACACACACACACACTAATACACACAAACACAAAAACACAAAAAAACAGACACACACGCACACAAACACACAAGCGCACACGCACACAAACACACAAACACGCAACCACACACACAAACACACAAACACACAAACACACACACACAAGCACACAAACACATCATCACACAAACACACAAACACACAAACACACACACAAACACACAAGCACACACAAACACACACACGTACACACAAACACACACACAAGCACACACAAACACACACGCAAACACACACAAGTACACTCAAACACCTAGCACACACACAAACACACAACCACACACACATACACACACAGCCACACACACACAACCACACACACAAACACACACACAAACACACACACACAAGAACACACACGCACACACAAACACACACACAAGAACACACCAACACACACAAGCACACACACAAACACACACACACACAAACACACACGCACACACACAAGCACACACACAAACACACAAACACACACAAACACACAGGCACACAGGCACACACATACAAACACACACAAACAAACACACACATCCACAAACACACACCCAAACACACACACAATCACACACAAACACACACACAAACACACACACACAACCACACACACACAAACACACACACAAACACGAACACACAAACACACACAAACACACACACAAACACACACACACAAACACGCACAAACGCACGACCACACACGCACACTCACACACACACACACGCTCACACGCACGCACACGCACGCACGCACGCACGCGCGCACGCACACACGCACACACACACACACACACATACACACACAAACACACAAACACACACATACATACACACACACGCACACACACACACTCACACACTGACAACACACCCGCCCCGCTTACGTGCAACTGCCTCGGATATAACGCTCTTTGGTGCAGTGCGATACGATGAGAAACAATCCAGTCCGACGTACGTACATTAATGAGGGGGCCCAGGGACACAAATTCGCCGACCCTGTCGTCGTCTCCGTCGTCTCCTCGTCGTCTCCGTCGTCGTCACAGTCGTCTCCTCGCTGTTTCCGCCGTCCCTCCTCTCTGGACCCTCCTCTAACGCCGTTGTAGACTCGACAAAGAACCCCCTCTCTTTGATCCCTTCCCCGCGCGGGGGGGGGGTCCCCGGGGGGGGGTCGCCACGCAGATTCGTGTCCCCCGCGGGCGGCCCCGATACCTTGAAAAGTCCCAAAAGGAACCCAGAATGCCCAGGACGGCCCCCAAGATGGCCCAAGAGGGCCCTGAGTCGCCCAAACATCGGCCCAAGACGCCCAAGATGGCCCCAAGACGGTCCAAGAAGCCTCCAAGACGTCCCAGGAAGCTTCCAAAAACAACCCCAAGAAGGCCCCAGGAGGATAGAATCATTGATTTCCCATAAGAGAACGTACACTTTTAGCATGTACGACTGTTCGGCCTTCACCGAGTTGAAGACGGTCCACGAGGCCCCCAAGAAAGCTCCAAGACGGCTCAAAAGGCTCCCAAGAGGCGCCCAACACGGCCCAAGAGGGCCCCAAGACGGGGAGCTCGAACCAAAAATCCGAGCCTTCCGCCCAAGAAAGCTCCCAGGCGGCCCTTAAGAGGCCCCCAAGAGGCCCCAGGAGACCCCCAAGAGGCCCAAAAGAGGCCCCAAGAGGCGCCCAAACGGCACCCTCCTCCTCCTCCTCCTCCTCCTCCTCCTGCTCCTGCTCCTGCTCCTCCTCCTCCTCCTCCTCCTCCTCCTCCTCCTCCTCCTCCTCCCCTTGCTCCCCTTCCTCTTGCTCCTCTGCTTCTCCTCCTCCTCCTGCTCCTCCTCCCCCTCGTTTTCATCTTCGTCGTCTTCAGGGACGGCGGCACCGGCCGTAAGGCCTTCGCAATACGTACACGCACACGCACACATACCAGGATGTTCTATACTTTCTCATATTGTCTGGAATTTCGTCTTCTCCCCCACTTCCCATATTGCCCCATAGGTTCCTCGGAATCGACGATGCATTGTGTCTGACTGTCTTTTCCCTCCTGAATTAAAGACACGCGCAATGACGAGCGGTCGCGCATGATGAAATCAGAGCCGGAGGAGGCCAGTAGAACGAGGAAGAAGCGGAGAGGAGGAAGACGGGACGGGGTGGGGGGCGGGGAGGGGCGGAGGAAGAGGAAAGAGCGAGAGAAAGAGAGCGGGCCGCGGAAGAGGAGCAAGAAGAGGGGAGGACTGTGGCGAGCGGGGACGGGGCGGAGCGGGAGCGGCCTGCCCACAGACTCCGACAAGAGGCGTCGCCCTCCGTGCTCGCTGCCTGTCGCCTCCCGGCGCCGCACGGAGCCCCCGTTGGGCCTGCCGAGACCGGGCGCAGCCTCCGGGGAGGGGGGAGCCTGGCGTGGTGGCGGTGCCGACGTTGCCTCCGCCTGCAGTCCCTCTGGCTGCGCACCAGGCCCTCGGCTTCTGGGCTCGACGAGGACGAGGACGATGGCGATGACGACGACGACGACGACGACGAGGACGAGGACGAGGACGAGGACGACGACGACGAGGACGAGGACGAGGACGAGGACGAGGACGAGGACGGGGACGAGGACGAGGACAAGGACGAGGACGAGGACGAGGACGAGGACGAGGACGAGGACGAGGACGAGGACGAGGACGAGGACGAGGACGAGGACGAGGACGAGGACGAGGAACGAGGGACGAGGACGAGGACGAGGGACGAGGACGAGGGACGAGGACGAGGACGAGGACGAGGCGAGGCGAGGACGAGGACGAGGACGAGGACGAGGACGAGGACGGAGGACGAGGACGAGACGACGAGACGAGGACGAGGACGAGGACGAGGACGAGGACGAGGACGAGGACGGGGGACGAGTGGACGAGACGAGGGCGAGGACGAGGACGAGGACGAGGACGAGACGACGAGACGACGACGACGACACGACGACGACGACACGACGACACGACGACGACACGACGACGACGACGACGACGACGACGGACGACGACGACGATGACGATGATGAGATGATGATGATGATGATGATGATGATGATGATGATGATGATGATGATGATGATGATGATGATGATGATGATGATGATGATGATGATGATGATGATGATGATGATGATGATGATGATGATGATGATGATGATGATGATGTTGCGGCTCGCCCTCCTTCGGCTCGCTGCGCGCCGCCTGCACACCGCAGCCCGGCTCGATGCCTCGGCTGGGGCCCGCTGCTGCGGAGCGGGGCGCGCGCGGCAGCCCTTCCCCGCTGCCGCCTCTCGGGCGCGCGGCTCCGCGCTGCCCCGCTCCGCGCCTCTGGCCTGCTCTCCGCTTGCCCTCGCTCGGGCGTCGACTCCCCGTGCCTTGCTCGGTTTCGCGCATGTTTTGCTGGCCTGATGGTCCAGGGTGCCCCTCGAGGGTCCTCGCCGACCAAAGGATGCACACGCCCGAGCGATGCCGAGTCCATGAGGCGACCCCTCCCCTGGCCAGCGCCCACCACTCCTCACGGACTGGCTGCCACAGCTCCTGCAGAGGAGCGGCGGTGGCCCCATCGCCAAGCAGCAGGCCCACCGCCTTCTCTCGGCCAGCACGTGCGGGAGGAGACCTACCTTGGCTGCTCTATGGAGCGCGAGCCCGAGCACAGCCCAGGGCTCGGCCATGCTGCATGCCGCGCGCGCCCCCCGCGCTCTCAGCGCCTGAGGGGCCTGCCGAGCCACCTCGAGCCAAAATGGCCACGGAGGGGGAAGAAGGGGCAGGGGAAATGGCAGAGAAGGGGCAGATGGTGTTGGGGGGAGGGCGGCGATGGGGGAGGAGGGGGGGGGGAAGGAGAGGAAGGGGGAGAGCCGGAAGACTGGGCCAGGACGGTGGGTCCCGGAGACCGGGCCTGCGGCAGAAGAGTCCGGCTGCAGCAGCCCCAGCGCGCGGAGCGAACGGGCGATCTCGCCCCAGTGGGCGTGAACCTGACGCCCGGGGTCGGGGCGCGCGGAGGACGTATCCCTCATCCGCCCTTCCCCTCCTCCTCCTCCTCCTTCTCCTCCTCCTCCTCCTCCTCCTCCTCCTCCTCCTCGGACTCCTCCTCCGACTCCTCCTCCTGCTTATCCTCCTGCCCTCCTCCTCCTGTTGTAACTCCTGATGCGGATGACACCCCGCGGGGGACCAGCATGCACAGGGAGGGAACAGACAGAGAGACGCGCAGGAGGAACGCGAGGACAACGACCCCCCTCCCGCCTCCTGCTGCCCCCCCCCCTGCTAGAGGCCGCCTAGATGGCTTCGGAGTGGATGGGGTCGGAGGATCGCACTGCATCGCCGATACGTCGGCGATGCATCGGCGATGCATGGCGGATGCACCGGCGATGTATCGTCGACGTCGGCGATGCATCGGCGACGTCGACGCGAAGCAAATCGGGCTCCGCATCGAGCCGCGTCGGCGATGCATCGCCGACGCGGCGGCGATGATTCTCCGATCACATCTGCTCCGACCCCGCCTAGAGTAGGCCTAGACCTGCTGCGGTGGAGGGGGAGGAGGAGATGGAGGATGATGATGAGGAGGAGGGGGAGGACCAGTGTAAAACCAAAATTCATCAACGATGTTGGGATTAACAATTAACCCTCCCTCCAAGCTCCCTCTGCATAGGCCCCCACAGCGGTCCATTTCCATTGAGGGAACTGCCTCGTTGGAAGACAACCGTTTGAAGATCCTGACGCATGGCAAAACATTTTTCTCGGACTTTCAACGCCACGTGTCAACCTGATTGCTGCGTCATGACGATCTGGAATCGTGCCAGAACGCCGTTTGGGGGACTTCAACACGGCGAATCAACAGAACTGTTGCGCCTGCATAATCCTGAACCCTTGCAAAACACCATTTCTGGTGGGTTGATCATGGGAATCCGAGGCAAGAGCCACAGTTTGAAAACGACCCGCCCTCAATCCGTGAAGCGCCTGCAAATTCTCAAAGCGAATGTGCGCGGCGCTAAAGCGAGAACCACATGTTGAAAACAACCCGCCCTCAACGCGTGCAACTCCTGCACATTTTTAAAGCAATGTGCGCGGAGCTAAAGCGAGAACCACATGTTGAAAACCACCCGCCTTCAATCCGTGAAACTCTTGCAAATGTTGAAAAATAATGTGCGCGGCGCTAATGCGAGAACCACATTTTGAAAACGACCCGCCTTCAATCCGTGAAACTCGGGAAAGTTTCAAAAGCGAGTGTGCGCGGCGCTAAGGCGAGATCCACATTTTGAAAACGACTCGCCCTCCATCTGTGTAGCTGTTCACTGTTTAAACTTTAGAATCATAAATGGTGAGGAAATCTCAGGCGAAACGCCCGGCCCGCCCCCAAAACCGGCCACGGGGTGTGACAGGGAGGAGTAATCTACAAGGAGAAGGTGTGGAGGAGGAGGAGGAAGAGGAGGAGGGCGAGGGAGGAGGAGGAGGAGGAGGGTGAGGGAGGAGGAGGAGGAGGAGGAGGAGGAGGAGGAGGAGGAGGAGGAGGAGGAGGAAGGGAGGAGGAGGAGGAGGAGGAGGAGGCCGGGTCGCCTGGGCCCTTCGGAGACACCTTCCAGCCGGGGGGGCATTCGGAGAGCGCCACCGGATACGTCTACACCGACCCTGGCCAGGCCGCTCCCGGGCCCAGGACGGGCATGCGCGCCCTCCTCCCCTGGACAGGCCGGCATGCCGATGCTGGTATTACCAGCCTCGAACGTATCCCTACGGCAGGTTCGTGTCGTGCCGACCCCAGCGTTGGTTTTTGACACCGCAGGGATCGTTCAACCTTGAACGATCGGCCGCTGCCGCAACGTCCGATCGTTCAACATCGACCGATTCTGGGTCGCCGGCGGCGTTCAACCTTGAACGTCCGCGCTGGGGTCGCCGCTGGTCGACACGACGCAAACCTACCGTATCCCTAAGATTGGCACGCCAAGAGGCGATGTCAATCTCAGAGGTGCCCAGCATAGGGATAGGGACATGCTCCAGGCTGGTAATGGCAGGCGGCGGCGTCCGAGCCCCTGCCCACGCCAACCAGCGAGTCTCCCGAGTCGCTAGGGCTCCCAACTTCGCGCTTCGCGCTGCGCGAAGCGCGAAGCGCGACTAACTTCGCGCTCTCGCGCCGCCCCCCCAAAGGGAGAAGAGGAGGACGAGGAGGAGGGGGAGAAGGAACGAGGACCGCGAAGCGCGAAGCGCGAATAACTTCGCGCCCTCGAGGGAGCCCCTGGAGTCGGATGGGGGGGTCGGCGGCGGGCCTCGGAGCTCGCCACGCCCTCGACGAGTGCCGAGCTCCACCCCCGCCGCCCATCGAGTGGCCTGAGAATCGTGGATCGGCGAGGGTGCAGTCGGGGCGTTGGCGTTGAGATCAGGAACCCCAGATAGGCAAGGGCTCCCAGCTTCGCGCTTCGCGCTCCGCGAAGCGCGAAGCGCGAATAACTTCGCGCTCTCGCGCCGCCCTCCCAAAGGGAGAATAGGAGGACGAGGAGGAGGGGGAGGAGGAAGGAGGACGGCGAAGCGCGAAGCGCGAATAACTTCGCGCCCTCGAGGGAGCCCTTGGATAGGGAACGAGGCCCCTTTGTGTCCATAAGTTGAGCTTCGAGTTGCGATCGAAGAGCTGAGGAGAACCTGGGGCGAGCTGCAGAACAACCAAGGAACACTGAGCCCCTCCCAAAAGAAAAGGGTTCCTTCTTCAGCGCCCCGACTGTAGGGTTCGGATTTCGCCGCCGCTTGATCCTACAGCCAGACCTAGGACAGAAGAACAGCCTTCAAGAACATGCGATCCTCCGCCAGCCAAACTGAGGTAGATTCGAGGGCACCCTTCTCCAGGGTGCACCAGAGCCTCCCGCAGACATGACACACATTGGCGCACTCTCCCCGAACCGACCTAGATCTTACACCTCGGTCCGACTGGAGGCCTGGCAAGGAGGAGGAGGTATCCATGCTATGGTAGCCGCTGGGACCAGCAGTCGCGACGACGCAGAATGGTTACAACAATCCCCTCTACCTCACGCCGAGGCGTCCTGGAACAACACATCGACTGTGTAAAACCATCGCTGTGCTAGAGATGCGATTGGATGTGTGCAAGCCTTTCCGAAATCATAGATGCGCAGGTGCAAACAGGCGGCGGTGGGGTGTGCGTGGTCTCGCTGCGCAACGAGAGCCCACGACAGCAGGCACGGCCCACACAGAGACGACACAGGAGCTCCCCCTTTCTAGATTGGCACTTGCCCGCCCCAACAGCACTGAAAGACACGGCGTGGAGCGTGGTTCAGAGGAGGAGGAGGAGGAGGAGGAGGAGGAGGAGGAGGAGGAGGAGGAGGAGGAGGGGGAGGGAGGAGGGAGGAGGAGGAGAGGAGGAGGAGGAGGAGGAGGAGGGAGGAGGAGGCTCTGATGCGTCCAGCGCCGACAACGGGCGCTCCTTCCGCCTGCCCGCCCCGCCCCGCCGGCCCCTGCCTCCCGCCTGCGCGCCCGCCGTCGTCTACCCTGACCTTCCAGAGAGCTATGTGTTAGCACTGGAGGCCAAACAACCTAAAGAACTGAGCGACACAGCCTGGAGCCAAGACGTAGAATAGCTTTGGGATTGGTCTTCAAGTCGGGTGCTAGGTTTCAGCCCTCCTGGCAGGTCAGGGAAGAGGCCTGCGGCGCGGCCGACACTGAGGCGCCCGGGTCGGGGATCTTCTGACCCGGGTCAATCCAGACCCGGGTCAGCAGGAAACCAAAAACTGCAATGCAGGAACAAAAAACTGCAACGCAGGTCTTCGCAAACCCGGGTCAGCCAATATGTGCGGCCGCCTCGCGGCCACGAGCGGCTCCCTAACCCGGGTCAGCCAGAGGGGGTCTTCGCAGGATCCTGCAGGATCTAGTGCCCTGGCTGACCCCCGTTTGCGTTGACCCCCGTCTCGAGGCTCCCGACCGGGTGTGGCCGTGCTCCTGCCGGGCTCTCCTCGGAGAAGGCCGACGCGGAGTCGGGTGCCGAGGCTGGCAGGAGGCGGCGCCAGATAGCCTCATGAGGTGGGAGAGGGGTGGGTGAGGAAGCTCGCGCCAGATGACAGAGAAGCGATGGGGGGAGGGGAGGGAGGATGCATGCAAGAGGAAAGAGGAGTCACGGCAGAGATCGAAGGCGAGACGAGAGAGGACTGGAGGAAAAGGGAGGGGAGGGGGGATCGGCCGAGGAAGGATACCTGCCTCTCCCCTCCGCTTCCCCCCCTCGCCGGGCAGCACCAGCCTGCCCGGAGAGCAGCGTGGCGGCGCGTGGAGCAACGGGCCAAGGCCAGGCAACGGTTCCGAACCACAGGGAAGAGGTGTTTTTTTCAGGAAAAAGGATGGAGGACGAGGAGGAGGAGGAGGAAGAGGAGGAAGGGGAGAAGGAGGAGGAAGAGGAGGAGGATGAGGAGGAGGAGGATGAGGAGGAGGAGGAAGGGGAGGAGGAGGAGGAGGAGGAGGAGGTTGACCCCTTAGGAGACCCCCGAACCCTGAAGACACAGAACCCTCCCCAGAAGGCCCTCGCCGCCGACGCACGCCTGGGAGCAGCACGGCAACGGCATAGAGCAATCGGTCACGCCAGAGCCAGCAGCTCCGAACCGCGGGCGGGACCCGAGGCGAACCTGGGCGGGCACCCCTGCTTTGGAAGGGTAGACCTACAATTAGGTCGGGCATGTCCCCCTACAGGCGGATTTCGGAAGAACAGTCACAGATAACCCCAACAAAAATACTAGAGAATTGTCCCCAGACTGTTTCTTGACTATTCTTGAGCCTTCCTCCTGTAGAGGGACATGCCCGACTTCCACCTGCTGGTCAAGCCCGACAGTATGATGCACCCTGCGCCACGACCATGGGGTGCGACGGTAGAGGGAAACAATTAGTGAACACACACCCCCTGCCCCCCAAACTCCAAGTTGGCACGCACGGGGGAGACCGCGGTCGAGGTGCAACTCGTCGGACCCACCGCCAACTTTGAACATTGGGGGCAGCGGGATGCGCCCACAAATGAGTGTGGCAGGAGTGTCCGCTAGTTTTTGTCCGAGGCCTGGACGTGGGCCTGCGCTTTCCAACTCTCCTCCTCCTCCTCCTCCTCCTCTCATCCTCCTCCTCTCTCCCTCCCTCTCTCCCTCTCTCCTCTCTCTCTCCTCCTCTCTCCTCTCCTCTTCCTCTCTCCTCTCTCCTCTCTCTCTCTCTCCTCCTCTCCTCTCCTCTCTCCTCTCTCCTCTCTCCTCTCCTCCTTCTCCTCCTCCTCTCCTCCTCCTCCTCCTCCTCCTCCTCCTCCTCCTCCTCCTCTCTCCTCCTCCTCCTCCCTCCTCCCTCCTCCTTCCTCCTCCTCCTCCTCCTCCTCCTCCTCCTCCTCCTCCCTCCTCCTCCTCCTCCTCCTCCTCCTCTCTCCTCCTCTCCTCCTCCTCCTCCTCCTCCTCTCTCCTCCTCCTCCTCCTCCTCTCTCCTCCTCTCTCCTCTCCTCCTCCTCCTCCTCCTCCTCCTCCTCCTCCTCCTCCTCCTCCTCCTCCTCCTCCTCCTCCTCCTCCTCCTCCTCCTCCTCCTCCTCCTCCTCCTCCTCCTCTCCTCTCTCCTCACACCACTCCACCTCCAACTTCGAACATTGAGTGCTCGCCGGTCTTTGTCCGAGGCCTGGACGCGGGCCTGCGCGTTCCAACCCACCCGCGGGGGGCCTCCTCCAGGTCGTAGACGAGCCAGTCGCGGCGGGCTGCGGCACCTCCGCTGCAGGCCGCCCTCCGCCCGCCCCCTCTCCGCCCCTCCCTCCCCCCTCCTGCCTCTTCGTCCTCCTCCTCCTCCTCCTCCTCCTCCTCCTCCTCCCTTCTCCCCGCCCTCCGCCCGCCCCCCTCAACCCTCCCTCACCCCTCCTGCCTCAAGGTGGCGCCGCGCAGCCTCGAGCAGGGGATCGACTGGCAGCACTGGCGCCTACCTCAAGATTCGTCCTCTCGCCCAGTCGAGGAGCACAAGACGTGTAAATGCTTGCCGATCCGCGAGCACTCCGATCACGCCTTTGTCGCAGACTCGACGGGAAACAACTCTTGAGGTCCGCATCCTCGCCCGGCTCCCTTTCCTCCTGTCCGGCCCCGTCCTCTCGTCCGCCTCCATCGCCTCCTCCTCCACCGCCTCCCCACCCCTTGCCCTCCCACTCCTCCCCCTCCTCCGCCTCCCTCGTTGTGCTACCTCCTGTGTGTATGCCCAGCCTCCTCGTCGTCCGCTTCGCCGTCCTTTTCCACCCTCCTCTTGCGTGTGTCCCTCCTACCGCCATGCCCACCCCAGACGAACAGTGGGATGGGGAGCAAATGCAGCGTGCGAGACCTTCGCAGAGAGACACTACTCGTGCTGCCCTGGCCTCATGACTGCATGCTGCGCAGAGTGGTATCCCTTGCCGTGTAGCAATCATGTGAGAGGTGTCCCTTGATATCGAATAGTATGTCCAAGGTTGCTTGAGGCTACGAACCTGGGGCTGGCCTCAAACAAAAGTAATGAACGTCGGCAAAAAAGTGGTCCCACGCAAGCTCCCCCTGACTCCTGAACCCGAGGAAGAAGGACGCAAGGGGCCTGCCCACCCACCGCGCTTCCTCGCCTCACCGTGCAGCCACTGCGCCACCACAAGAGAAACCAGAGGAGGAACGAAAAGGGCCCTTCTGGCAACGGCGAGAGTAGGTTCCGCGACCTATATCTCAGGAATGGCTTCGAAACGAGAGCCTCTCCTGTGCCCAGAGTGGTCATTATTCCAGCTTCTTGACTGGAGCCTCCAAGAACAATCATGTTTTAATGTCGAGAAAGAAACGGCTCCCCGCAAGTTCCACATGACTCCTGAGCCCGAGGAAGACACCTGGCGCCTGCCTGCCCACCGCACTTGCTCGTCTCCGGGGGGGACAATACGGGATGTCGATACCGCCACTCCCCGGACCTCTCGCAAGGGTGCATTCTGAATAGAACTTCGAGGCGAACCCAGCCGTGGCGACGAGGGCCTCACCAACGGCCCCAAAACACGAAAACGAGGAACGAGCGGGGGGATCGGTACTGTCGGGGCGTTGACCCAAGGAACCCGAAATAAGGAACGAGGCTCCTTTTTCTCATGAGTAAACTTCGATTCCCCATGGGGAACCTCAGGAAAACCCGAGGCAAACTTTGAAACAATCAAGGGACACCGAGCCCCTCCCCAACGAACAGGGTTCCTTCTCCAGGGCCCCGACTGTACGCCCGACTCCTCCGAATCTCCGCGTCTTGGCCGTCGCCAGCCGCCCCGAGTGGCCGCGAGGGCCTTCTGCCGCACCCGCTGCGACTCGAGCCGCTCCTGCAGCTCCGCGGCCGGCACGCAGACCCACTCGTCCGCGGTGTCCGCGTCCACCAGCCTCTCTGCGGGGCTGCGCGCGCGGGGCGGGAAGAGGAGCCGACGGTGCAGGGCCGGCTTCTGGGAGGTCTCCGTGAGAACGATGACACGTCGGCCGGAAGACGTAGGTAGAAACATGAAGTAGGAAGGCGGATGAAGTTGATTGGGTCCAGGCCCCCCCCCCCAGAGAGTAACAAAGCACAGCTTCTGGGCCAGCTTCTGGGAGATCCCCGTAGGGAAGATGACACGTCGGGGCGTTGACCTAAGGAACCCTAAATAAGGAACGAGGCCCCTTTTTTCCACAAGTTAAACTTCGATTTCCCATCGAAGACATAAGGAACATCTGAGGCAAGCTGCGAAACTCTTAAGGAACGCGGAGCCCCTCCCCAACGAAAAGGGCTCCTTCTTGAGGGCCCCGACTGTACACGTCGGTCGGAAGAAGTAGGTAGAAACACGAAGTGGGAAGGCGGATTCAGTTGATTGGGTCCAGGCCCCCCCCCAGAGAGTAACGAAACACAGCAAAAGCGTGTCGACTCTGGAGGTAGGAGAGCGGCGCTTGAAGTAGAGTGGGATCTGGATATTCAGACATACCTACTTTCAACTACTGGCGTGTGACGTTAGGTCGGGCATGATCTCCTACGGGCGGATTTTGGCCGACAAACAAAGAGTCACACAAATAATCGGCAAGAGTACAAAAGATATTAGAGATCATCGTCCCCAGACTCTTGTCTGACCAATTTTGAATTTTCCTCCTGTAGAAGGACACGCCCGACTGAAGATGCATGGGGTGCGGAGGCCCCGTTAGGTGGCCGTCGAGCCGAACTGGGCTATGAAGCAGGGAGATTGGGAGGGGCGGGCTGCCCGAGAGGGGCACGACCCAGGAAGCAGCTCCCGGGCGGTCGTCGGGAGAACGGTTACAGTGGAGGCCCGTCCACGAGAAACATCCCAAAAGAAACCCAACTCTGAGACCCCACAACGTCCATAAATTTTTGGTGGCAGCGTCACGCTTTCCATCGCAAAACCATCGAAACCTAAGAAACCCAGGGCACCCTGGAAGTAAGCAGGGTGTTTCTTAGCATGGGCCTCCACAATAATCGGCTATCAGGCACGATGGCGAAGCCACTGAGCCGGATTAGGCCATGTTACGTCCGGGATGAAGCCGGGGCAAACAGGATGGGGAAGTTTAGGCGGAACTCGAATCGCGGATATACCAAGCCGGAAGTTGTCCAGACTGGACTGGTTTTCGACCGCCGATCTGCCGGCGCTGATGCTGAATTTGACCTCTCAGGAGTTGCATCCTCAGGGAAGGGCAGGTTGCCCGGTTTTGGGAAGGACTGATCTGTGCGGAGCCGTGCGAGCCATGGGACGGCTGCGTCGGCCTCAGCTAAGACGGAGCCAAGACGCTCATGATGCCATGCCTTGTCGTCTCTGCTCAAAAAGATTGGGCTAGATTGGGCCGGCTCGGCCTGGTAAGAGGGTGGCTGTGGGCCACGAAGGTTGGATCCGAGCTGCAGGCTGCATCGGGGAATGCTACCACCACCGCAAACTCCGTCCCTACGTCGGCATGAAGGTCTGAATGCGCTCGCAGTCTGGGCCTCTGCTTGCAGTCGCTTCGAAATGCCAAGCCATGGCTCTGGGCTGCGTCGAGACGGCTGGCGCGCGTCTCCTTCTCTGCCTCTTCCCCACCAGAATTCACTTGCTCCTCCTCACATTCATTCTCCTCCTCCGCCTTCTCATCCTGCTCCTGTCTCCTTCGGGCGATAGCGAGGCCCAGCAGAACACCCCGTTCGAGTGCAAAGGGCTCTCAGGCAGCACACACGAGGGAGAGGCCGAGCCTCATACACGAAGAGCAGCCACAGCCGTATCGGACGGGGGTTGGACCAAAAGGCCAGCTGGCGCCCCGACCCAGGCGGTCGAACTACCACCGCAGCGGCCAAGCACCTTCACCGCAGCCAGGCACCCCTCCTCCCCTCTCCTTCCCCTTCCCCTTCTCCCTCCCCTCTCCCCTCCCCTTCTCCCTCCGCTCCCCGCCCTTCGCCTTCCCCTTCTCCCTCCCCTTTCTCCCTCCCCTTCTCCCTCCCCTTCTCCCCCCTTTCTCCCTCCCCTCTCCTCGCCCTCCCTTTTCTCCCCGTCCTCCCCCCCCCCCCCCCCCCTCGTGCCCGTGTCCAAGACGGCACGGACTGTGATCGGTGCAGCCCTTCGGGCCCCCAGGTCGCCGAGAGAGGAACTCCCCTGGCGAGTGCAATCAGTCATCGGGACGAGGGTTATGTGGCTCCCATCGTACTTGAGGACCACATCCCAGGAATAATGTCGAGCACCCGGAAGAGTGTCGAACAAGTGTCGGGAGAGCGTGGAAGCAATGTCGGACGAGCGTATCCCAGGGCCCGACGCGTGACAACCCTCGAAATCGGTACTCTTCCGGTGCTGGACATTCTGTCTGGTGAGAGGCTAAAGCAGGTTGGAACATCATAAGACGAAGGTACGACGCCAGGAGGAGGAGGAGGAGGAGGAGGAGGAGGAGGAGGAGGAGGGAGGAGGAGGAGGAGGAGGGAGGATGGGGAGGGGAGGGGGAGAAAGGAGGGGGAGGGGGAGGGGGAGGAGGAGGAGGAGGGGAGGAGGAGGAGGAGGAGGAGGAGGAGGAGGAGGAGGAGGAGAGGAGGAGGAGGAGGAGGAGGGAGGAGGAGGAGGAGGAGGAGGAGGAGGAGGAGAGAGGAGGAGGAGGAGGAGGAGGAGGAGGAGGGGGAGGGGAGGAGGAGGAGGGGGAGGGGGAGGAGGAGGAGGAGGAGGAGGAGGAGGAGGAGGAGGAGGAGGAGGAGGGGGAGGGGGAGGGGAGAGGAGGAGGAGGGGGAGGGGGAGGAGGAGGAGGAGGAGCAGGAGGAGGGGGACGAGGTTGGCATCACGCCCTGTCTGCCTCAGAAGCCCCGCGGCGAAGCATCGGCTCGTCTGCAGCAAAAAGCGGGCCTGTACCGCCCGGCGGTCGTGAGCCTGCTGCGCGCGGAGGCCGGCAGGTCCGCGTCCCCCAGCTCCTCCTCCTTCGGCGGCTTGGGAGGTGAGGACGGGGGGGATAGTACACCCTGCGAAATGCTTAAGAAATCCTGGGTTAAGAAATTCACAATCTCAGAACTTGAATAAAAAAAACATAATTTCTATCAAAATCTTAGGATTTACATTGAAACATTAAAAATAATCGAGACTCTGGCCTAAAATGCAAGTTTTCTTAAGCATCGCCTAAGGTGTAGAGGAGCGAGGGGGCTGCAGAAGAGAAGGTGAGAGGGGAGATCATAAGCAGCTCCCGGGAGGCACTCGAAGGACGGCATTGGCCTCCTGAGCCAGATCGAATGGCCCTTGAGTCGAATGATGCTGGGCTGTGTCCAGCATTCAACATAAAATTGGGCAAGATCAAGCGGGACCAAGCGACCAAGCGGGATTGAGCTGGCCCCGGCCGGCTTTCGACCGCGGCTCTGCCGGCGCCCATTGCTGGAGCACGCCTCCTGGGAGCTGCATCCGAAGGGATGGGGACGCTGAGCAAGATCGCGGAGAGCATGGCAAGGCTGGCGAGGCGCTTCGGGGAGGAGGAGGAGGAGGAGGAGGAGGAGGAGGAGGAGGGAGGAGGAGAGGAGGATCAGGAGAGAGGAGGAGGAGGAGGAGGAGGAGGAGAGGAGGAGGAGGAGGAGGAGAGGAGGAGGAAGAGGAGGAGGAGGAGGAGGAGGAGGAGGAGGAGAACGAGGCTGGTGGCCCAAACCGGCCCTGCGCGGGACGGAGCCGTGGGCGCCCCCCGGGCGCCCACGGTGCCCCGGGGTGGGTCCGCCGAGGCCTCGCCCGGGGAGCCCGCCCGCGGGGCGCGCTCGCGGGTGCCCCGTGCCGCGGGCGGGCCTGCAGACAGCTCACGCCGCACGGCTCGCGCCGCAGAGCGTTTGCGCAGCGCAGCTCGCACGACATATCTCTCTCACGCATCGCTTCGGGGAGCAAAAAGTGACGTAAACATAAAAACTCGGAGGTCCGCGCGGATTTCTCGGATCGGCGCTGGACCCGCCTCCCTGGCGCGCGGAGCGCGCGAGGGGCGGCGCCGGAGGCGCCGCCGGTGGGCCCCAGCGCCGATCCGAGAAATCCGCGCGGACCTTCGAGTTTTTCTGTTTATGCCACTTTGTGTTCCCCTAATATTTCTCTCGCGCATCGCTGCTCGCACCACGCAGCTCACACCCCATGAGTAGCACCACGTGACTCGTGCCTCCGACTTTTTTTCACCAGGTGGATGCAATGACTCCATGTGCTTGGGGCCCGCGCTGGCTGCTATCATTCCCCACCGCCCTGCGCTGGGCTTTAGTTTTGGATCGAACACTGTGTTCGCGACCTTCCCCCCCCCGCCTTCCTATTCCTCTTCCCATCCACTTGTGCCTGTTTGCTACCATGCCTCCTACCTGGCTTCTGCCCTGACCCCTAGCTGCCTGCTCCCATGCCCCCATTGCCATCTCTGGGGGGGTGCGTCCTGCGAAACTGTCGCCACTTTTGAAGGTTGCTGGGGGGTTACAGGAATGACGCCCCACTCGGATCTAAACTGGGCCTCGCCATCGCGGGGGGCTGCGATATGCGAGACTGTCGCCACTTTCGAAGGCTACTGAGAAGTCCACCAGAGTAACGTCCCACGGGGCTGCTGGGGGGCCCACGTGTGACGTTCCACGCGGACCTAAAATTAAACCTCGCCGGCCCTGGGGGGCTGCGATTTGCAAAACGGTCGCCACTTGCGAAGGTTGCTGTGGGTCCACATGAGTGTCGTTCCACGCGGTTTGAAATTCGACCTCGCCGTCCCTGGGGGGCTGCGATCTCCGACGCTTTCGCCGCATTCGCAGAGCTGTTGGGAGCCCAGCGGAGTGATGTCCGCGCGGAACCACCCTCGACCTCGCCGCCCCTGGGGGGCTGCGACTTGCGAGAGCGCAGCCGCTGCCGAGGGCTGCCGACGGGCCCCTGTGGAATGACGCCCCGCCCGGCTCTACACTGCACCTCGCCACCCCTGGGGGGTTGCAC